CGGATTCCTCCGCCAACAGGGACCACCAACAGCTTCGAGACGCTGGACGTCGCCTTCGAGAACATCTCACTGCCCTGGCAAGCGGGCCAGCGTCTGGTGCAGCCCCGCTTGCAGCGGGAAGCGCGCCTCCGCGAGCGCCAGGCCGCCTTCCCCGTCGGCAAAGCGCTGCCTCGCTACTTCCTGATCTCCAACCCAGGCCGGAAGAACCGCTGGGACCAGCCCCGAAGCTACCGCCTCCAGCTCAACTCCCATGCTGGCCTGGTCCTGCCGCGACACTGGAAGGAAGAGAACGGCGTTCCCTGGAGCAGGTAAAGCCGGAGGCGGGGCGAGGCAGGCGGCAAGCCCTACGGGGTAAGGGCTGCGGCCTTTCTGGATGGACACCCCCCCCCTCCCCAAGTCTTTGGGGGGGTCTTCTCTAGCAGTGGTAGTTCTTCCATCCCGAGGTCCTCCCCGTTGATTTCCATTGCTCTCCTCTCCTCCCCTTGTTGGGGACCCTCGTCATTGTTCCGGTGGAAGGAACATTGGGGGGGACGGACGGAGGTGGGAGAGGGGGGACATTGTAGCGGAGAGGCGGGACAGGACCACGGGGGAGGGGGCTCCAGGTTGCCGACTCGTGCGTCCAGGATGGAGATGGCAACACGACGGCGAGGGGGTCCTGCCGCGGAGAGGGCGAGAGGGAATCCGGGGCTCCCTCGGACATGGGGCGTTTGGTCTTTAGTCCGACGGGGCTTTCCCCGGAGACTGAGTCAGAACTGGCACCTCCTCCTCCTCGCAGGTACCACGTGGCGGTGACTCAACACCACGAGAACGAAGGGGTCAGCAGTAGCTTGTACATCCAGAACGATCCGTGGCAGCCCAGTGTCAACTTTGAAAACTTCCTCCGGAATGACGAGAGCATCGACAAGCAGGTTGGAGAGATAGAGGGGGGTGGGGTGGGGGAGAGGGAGAGAGAAAGAGAGAGAGAGAGACAGAAAGAGAGAGTCAGAGAAAGAGAGAGAGGGAGAGAGAAAGAG